ATGATATTGTATTGTTAACATAATGTTCTAAACACATTATTGCGGTAAATATCACATGCCTCAGTAGTTGAAAGAATAAAATGCCTGCCCGGTAGCAGGAGATCCAGATTTGATTCTTGGCTGAGGTGATATTTTTCGCAAAAATAATAATTACGAATTTCCATGACTGGTTCCCGCCGTAGCGCACACCCTCCCTTTCTTATCTTTCAAAAACGCAAAAGTTTTTCCTCCAAAATTTGTCTTGCCGAAAAAGATTTTGTGCCTGAGTCTCAAATCAAATAAATTCAATATTAATAAATTCAATATTAATTTATAATATTCAATATTATAAATTGAATATTGAATTAATTTTGCTGAAGCAATTTTTTACACTGGCTATATTATTCGTAGCATTTGTCGACCATCGTCGGTTAAATTACGATTATTCTATGGTGTGTTTCAGATCAACTCAATTTTTTTCACGAACTGATTCAAGAATGGAATACAATATGGAATTGCAATAGATATGTGTCTTCTCTTTCTTCTGAATCTGAAAATACTATTGAAACTTATCGAATATGAAAAGTAAAGAGATGAAGAAAGTTTGTCGTCATGTTTGTTTTTTTCATGTTAACTTTAAATTCAATGTTAAATTATATCATATTTCCTTAAAATTCAATTTTTCATCTGTAATTGTCGTTCGGTTATTCAAGCTCATAATTGGACAATGCAAACTTTATTTGATATAAAGGCGCGCGATCCATTGGTCGATAAATTATAACGATACATGTAAATGCTGTCATTATCTATTGAACCGCGCCTCCCCCTGCCAAAATCTGCCGCGCAATACTCAACATACTGTCCAATATGTTGATGTAACACCCTGTACAGCTGATTTACTTCCATTTTTTATATATGTTGCAGTCCATGCTGCTTCAACCCAAAAATTCAATGGTAATTTTGAATCTGCCATCATCGTTCGTGTCATTTCTATAATAGATTTATTCGCTCTTTCAACTACTTCGTTGCTTTGTGTTTTTGCTGCACTAAACTCATGTTTTATTCCTTTATCTGTGAGCCACTTTTTTAGATTTCGTCGCTATAAATTCTTCTCTGTTGCCCGATCATATCACTTTCAGTCTCAATTTTGTTTAATTTTCTTTTAGTATCAATTTCATTATCAATTTTTCTGCCACCTTTCTTTTTTAATAATTCTGTAAAAATCACCTTCGAGTAATCATCTATTATTGTAAATATGTATTTCTTTTCGCCACGAGATGACGATTTCATGGAATCAATCAGATCTATGTGCCACAGTTCAATTATTTTATTTGTTCTACTTATTATTCTTCGATATGCTTTTTTTGCACATCTTTCCTTCCACGCATGATTCGCATTGTTTCCTTTCTTCGTCAGTTCTTTTTATTCCTATAACAAGATTTTTCTTTTTCATTTCATCGATGATTCTTTTTCATTTCATCGATGATTCTTCTTTTGTTTACGTGTCCAAGCCTTTTGTGTCTGTGTCTCTGATGATCGCTACTTTTTCAAGATTCATTGTCGAACATTTCACATAGTATGCGTTTTCTTCACACAGCTGTCATCTTTATCTCATTGTTATTCCTGTAAACAATGGTTCGATGTGTATCAAATTTCACAGTATAATCATGATCTGTATTTTTCTTCATTTCCTTGCAATCTGCTGCTATGTGATTAAATCCTTGACAATTAAAATATTTATGCCTATTACGGCACTCACTTGATATATGGTGTTTAATTCCGCAATTGCAACGTATCATGTCGTTTCTCGGTTTTTCCCTCGCTCTTATATTCGTCTTTCGATGTCCTTTCTTCTTTTCTTTTCTTCAGTATAATTCTTGTTGTAAGCATATATCTTATTTCATTGATAGCTCTCTATGTTTCCACTATTCACACATTTTGGTCAAACTCAAATCTTAAATTTCTGATTATATACATTTTTCATAATCTTCTATATTTCTTGTAAGTTGCGCGCACTGGTTCCTTAACGCTTCAGTTCTATTTATATACACATCGACATTTTCGTTCTTATTCGTTTGTAGATTAGATAATTCATTCAGCGATCTTGCCTTCGCTTGCTCAGTTTCTATAACCATATTATTTTTTATTAAACTCCATAGCTTATCCGCTCTCTTTTCATTCTATATTTGAGTAACTGCGCTTTACTCACTACATTATGTTTATCATTATCGCCCACGCGGCATAATTGTCGTCGTCCCAGTCGTTCCACAACTTGAATTTTTCTACACCTTCTTCAGGTTTTTCCGGGGATTTTTATAACCTTTTCCATAATTTCTTTGCTCTCACAAGGAACCTGCCACAATTGTCTGGAATCCGAATTCTCTTTGAAATATGTTATTATTAGGTGTACAAAAAAGTTCTGAGCTTTAGATTTCATACAACCGAAATAACAATTTAAATTTTATGTATCTTCCCGCCCTTTTGCGGTTTTAAAGCGTTGACACTTGGCTTTCTAAAATGCCATACGGTTTGGCGTTTGATGCACATAACCTCAAAAATCAGTAGTGTTCACGATGGCAATAACAAAAGAGCATATTTGATTTTTCATCCACTTCGCGTTTCATCTGAAGAAAAATGCTGCTGAAGCCACTACAATGATTTGTGCTGCATATGGAGAGAATGCTGTAAGTCATATTACATGTAAAAGATGGTATCAAAAATTTCGCCAAGGAGATTTCAGTCTTGAAGATGAATCGTGTGTTGGACGCCCTCAAAAGATTGAAACAGACGAATTGTAAGCACTGCTGGATATAAACTCTGCAAACTGAAAAGGAGCTTGCAGAACAGCTTGACGTTACGCAGCAAACCATTTCCGTATGTTTACATACGATGGGAAAGGTTCAGAAGGAAGGCAGATAGATTCCGCATGAATTGTCGAAGACAACAAAAATCGTCGGCGTGACACTGCACTCACTTTGCTTTCAAATTTTTGGAAAAAAGATTTTCTGCACAAAATCATTACAGGCGATGAAAAATGGATTCTTTATGATAATCCTAAACGTAGAAAATCATGGGTTGACTCTGGTCAACCTTCGACATCGACGCCAAAGTCCAATATTCTCGCCAAGAAGATTTTGCTCTGTATCTGGTGGGATTGGAAAGGTGTGTTATATTACGAGTTGTTACAACCTGGTGAAACAATCACGGCAGACCGTTACCAACAACAATTGACCAATTTGAGCCAAGAAAAGAGGCCATTTACTAGCCAAGGACGTCGTAAAGTGATCTTCATGACAATGCTCGACCACATGTTGCGAAAGCGACTCAGGACCATATCTTTGCGTTAGGCTGGGAACTTCTCCCGCATGCAGCGTATAGCCCAGACATGGCGCCTTCCGATTATTACCTATTCCGGTCGCTGCAGCATCATTTGACTGACACACATTTCGTGAGATTTGAAGAGATACGAAAATGCATTGATGACTTTATCACTTCGAAGGTGAGCTTCTATCGTCAAGGAATTCGCAAGCAACCCGAAAGATGGCAAAAGGTCGTTGATGCAAACGGGGAATATTTCGCTGATTAATATTTTTTTGTTTGTTTTTGAATAAAGATTGAATTTTACAAAAAAAAGCTCAGAACTTTTTTGTACCTAATATTTGTTACTTAATAAATACAAAAAGTTAAGAGACACGTATTTTTTTATGTCTGCCCAATCTGAATTTTAAGGGATAAAACAACTCCTCAAAGGCTAATGTATATATTTGATTCTCATCAATTATCAACAAAACGGTGAGATATATAAAAAAATGTTTTCGACAAAACTTTTATAATTTTTTATGTACTTTATAACTGTATATTTAGATTTTTCAAAAATTTAATATTCTTCAAACTACCCTCACTCCTCATTATTTTTACGTAATTTAAATTTTTTCTAAGAATAAAAATTAAAGAGCCAAATTTTTATGCCAAATTCAACTCGTATATGATAAAATTATTTTACAAAATCGCATCTTTCAGAAATAATCTAAAAATATCGTTACATACATCGTTTGTGCTTTTATGTAGCACTTATGTGGCAAATTGTTTTTCTGCTTTATATATTACAAATAATAATAACAATAATAATAATTTTCAATTTTTCTTTAATTATACATATTGTTGTGGCCATATCTATAACTAGATATATTAATAATCGCATGGCAACAGTAAATTCGAGAAACCTTTCGAAAGATTGCAGAAGTGCAAAACAATACGGAACAGCAAAAGTGATCAATCTTTCGAAAGATCACGAAAACGCATCGCACGAAATGATTGCGAAAGGTTCGATCAGCGAATTCCTTAATCAGCCAGCTGAACTGTGCGCGATATCGATTAACCAATATTGCGCAATTGAACGATGAATTCGATCAGAACGCTGATCGGGCATCGATTATCATTATATAATCGGTTATCCGAAGATGGGAATGGAGAGTCACACGAAATAATTATCGGAGTGAGAATCTTTCGCGATCGGTCACAGTATCAAGAATCCATCGTTAGTTACACAAGATGTAGTTACGCAAGATGTTGATAACCGAATATCAAATATCATATACGGTCGTTGGCCTCCCGAGTATCGCAAGCCGCGCCGAGTCGCCGGACGACATCTGAACCCGTGTGTGAGAATATTGTAAATCGGTGTTAAACGAAATATTAAGTGTACTATTAAATCATTGTATAATTAACATAATAAATTTATCAGTTTATAAAAAGTGAGTGAAAATGATTTAAAGAAGAACCTTATTCCCACCAATCATCATCCATGATCCTGCTCGGAGTTCCTTAGGCTTAGCGAACCTGATTTTCCCAAATAATAAATTCGTAATTTACCCGAGGTACAACAATATAAAAACATTCATTTCTTTTATTCATTCTTCATATATTTTATTATTATAGTACCTTAAGTTTAAAATTATTTTTATTCACTTACGCTCTTATTTCTTTACATTGTCTTTATTCACTAATTCCTAAATGTATTTAATAACATAATAATTTTTAATATTTATAATACATTTATTTTAGAGCACAAATTTATCAATTTCTTATTACTTTTTATAAACGTTAAAATAATTATTTTATATATTACTTAGTCATTCTAAAGAATACTGTTAATGTTTTGAGAAATATCACGCCAAAAGACGTGATTTTGCTATGAGAAATAAGTAATAATATTATTCTTAAAATACGTGATTCTGATATAAAAAGTAATAATAATTTCATGAACTGTATCATTATTATGTCATGAAATATATTGTTCATCTTTCGTATAGGACGTCTTTCAAACGTGACACTTTTTAAGCTCAAGTGCATTCTTAAAGATTAGCATCAATCAAAATCCAATTTGTTTGTTTAAATTAGCAATGTGGAAACAAAATTTTCTTTTGTAAAGAGTTAAGACTAATATTTAAATCAGAGTAGAAAGATTCTTCATTGAAAATTCACATTTTTTTTAATTGTATACGATCGCTAACAACCACAACGATCTTTATTAACATTTTCTTTTGTTATAATAAACTTAATTTATTATTAAATACAAATCAGTAATTATTTCGATTAGGAACCCGTCGAATCCGAGCGAGTTCAATCCGTACAATTATCCACAATCTCCGGACGGGAAAAATCTGTCTGTTTTAATTAAATAATTTTATTGAAATTGAAAATGTATGTTAAACACATTTATATTTCTCATAATAAAAAACTAAGGAGAAGAATTCTTTCGGCGCCTTTGTCCTACGACAGGTCTGGCGGAGCTCTATCGCTTATCTTTTTTTATTTACTCTCCGTCTCACTCTATCGGGATGATGGAGAAGTGGTAGCACTTTAGCTCATGAGTTAGCTTTTGAATAAATTTGCTTCAGAGGTTTGAAGTAAATATATGATTTTAGTAACTTTAAAGTTTTGAAGTAAAATGTTTCAAAACTAAGAATTTTAATGAAAAATTGCTAAGAACAAAGAACATTTGTTTTTACTTAAAGAATTTAGAAACGCAATAAAAATAGAGTTTTTTATTTGAAGAAATAAAATAAAAAATAAATCCTGAAATATATCTCTTACTTTGATCCTTAAATAAAAATTAGATGGCACTCTCAATATCGAACAATTTTTATCTGAATATATTCTTGTTTCCATCCTGTGCAGATAGTAGGAGTGATAGATTAAAATGAGACTTTCTGTATATTAAAACATTCTTATTTATAAATAAATGAATAAAAAATGAACAGATGCATTTTAATCTTTGTAATAACTTATCAGAGAAGTAATAAGAAGTTTTAATGATGACTGAAATTTTTTTAACTAATTTTAATTGCCTTGCTTCTATATTTTAGATTGCGGTGAATGGAGAGCATTTTTGTGCATTTGGCTATAGATTATCTCTCGAAGATATAATAGCTCTAGAAATTAATGGGGCCATTGAAGACATCAGGATTCGTCAACTTAATCTACTTATATATCCAGATCCTAGTATCTGCAGGCCATCCAAAACATTGATCTTGACAACTGAAGAACCACTCATGGATTTTCTAGTAAAATCTATTATTCTATTTATTATTTATTTATTTATTATTTAAAAGACAAAAGAATTATATATACGGTATAAGCAAACGAAAAATTGATACAATCAGTTGCACTAAAATTTGCAAAAACTGAAGGTTATCAAAAAATAAGTTATGTTATACTTTACATTCAAATATAGTATTCCCAGACCTCACGCGACAATCATTAATGACAAACATTTAAAGATATTCAAACATTGAAGATATTTTCAAAAATTCTAATTTAGAGACAAAAATATTGAAGTTATAATAATTTTTAAATAAAAAATATTAAGTAAAATTATCCAGTTAAATTATTTGAAATTATGTGTCATATTTTTGGTTGCTAATGAAATATAGAAAAAAGAAATAATTATGCTCTAAAAAACATTATCATATTCTAAAATATCTTAAAAATAATATAATGTAATAGCTTGAAAATATCTATTAAGAAGATGCTGGATTTGTTTGTTATCAACAAAACGTAGTAATTTTTGTATTGCTCTCATTTTTTTATTTACTTTATAGATCTGAAAATCCTTTTCCACAATTAAAATTTATGCATTAATACGTGCTTAGCATATGAATTTCATATCAAGAACGAGAGAAATTTTTATAATTTAGATCTTTTTTATCATCTCCTACTATCGAGAGCTGTCACTTAATGAAAGTATGTGTTTAATATAAAAGTTCTGCAATCTGTACTTACACAATTACTATTGCTGGACTATTAGCTTATAAGAAGAGACGACATTGAGTTCGTAATTAGGTTTGGACACTTTTTACGAATAGGAGAGTATCACAAAAATTCGTTTATATGCGTGCGTGCGTGCGTGCGTGCGTGCGTGCGTGCGTGCGTGCGTGCGTGCGTGCGTGCGTGCGTGCGTGCGTGCGTGCGTGCGTGCGTGCGTGCGTGCGTGCGTGCGTGCGTGCGTGCGTGCGTGCGTGTGTGTA